TTGAAAACCTTGTCAAACGTAGACTCTTTTTTATCCATTGAGTCGGCTGACAGGTCGAAGAGTAAAAGCACCCAGTGGAATCTGCAATGTGCGTGGGATGCATTACATATAAAACACTTAGCAAGTTCGTACGGGAATGAAATTTGGTATAGGAAGACAGTAAAATTAAACTAACTCTGTGTTGTACGGCAACAGTATGAACGTCTTGTAATGCTGCGCCTTCAGGAGATGGACGAGATTGTCCTCTGTGGCTTGCGGATATTGGTCGAGCATTGCGACGTTTACTTTCCGAGGGTCGATGAATCCAGTATCGAAAACCCCTCGCCGTCGGGCCCTTTGAATCTCCATTCTACAACGATAAAAGGGAGTATATTATTTTCTATAGTCTACTTATATACAAGGACCTAATTAATTAAAGGAGACGTAGTAAGAAATCTAACTAAACGATATACTTACAAAATCCAGCAACTCATAATAGTTACCAACCGGGCCTGAAGATCCTGGGGGGGGCCTGACAGGCCCTGACAGCATTTGAACCGGGACTAAAGATCAAATATGCCCGTTACCCTTTTTAACCGGGACTAAAGATCATTTTTAGCCCCGGTTTTTATTGCATCCGGGACTATTGTGGAATTCGGCCGACCGACGAAAGATGGTTTCTCCACCAATGTATGGTCTATTTGGCATAGCTCCATCTCCACCTACTTTTTCTGAAGCTGGAGCTCAGACGAACAAATTCAGCTCCACCTAAAATAAGAGCGGAGCTGAGTGGAGCTCTGACAAAATGAACTAGAGAGGTGGAGCTAGGTTCAGTTTGCTCCATAGCTGCACTCTAGATCCAACTCTTGGAGCTACATTTTAGAGTTGGAGCTCTACCAAATATGCTCTTAGTATAGTGATAGATAGATAGATATATCCAATGGTCTAAAATGATTAGTTCTAAGAAAATTAATTGGTAGATATGTTGCTATCATTTTCAGAATTATTAGGTTGGTTTTTCTAATTTATTAGAGTGTCACGTGACAGTTTTGGTGCTATTTAAGAGTCCTATGTGATCGCTTGAGAGCATTTTGTAGAAAACTTAATGGATTTTTATTATATAATAGATAAATATATATATTTTTAGTGAAATGGTATGTAGCTTAGTGGTTGTAGTGACCTGAGTAGCACTTCAAGGTGCTGAGTTCAAATCTCCATAGGATCCTAATTTAAAAAGACTGCATGCACTGGTGGAGAAACCATCTTTGGTCGGTCTGGGAAAATCCACAATAGTCCCGGTTCCAAAAAGAACCGGGACTAAAGATTGTTTTTAGTCCCGGTTGGTGTTTTAGTGTTACCAACCGGGACTAAAGATAATCTTTAGTCTCGGTTCATCCCCTGTCAGATGTATATCATGGGGCCGAGGATCTTTAGTCCCGGTTGGTGTCAATAACCCAGACTAAAGATTACCACTTTAGTCATGGTTGGTATTACCAACCGGGACTAAAATTGAACACGTAGTATATAATCCCTATCACTTATCATCTCCTCCACAGTTACAACTTAGGCAGATCGAATCTCTCCCCCTCTCCTCAGATCTATCCTCTCTAACTCTCTTCCTCATCCCCTCTCCTCCAACTCCTCCCCTTCCTCTTCTCCTCCTCCTCCTCCCCTTCCCATCCGGCGGGCCGGCGGGCGGCGGGGCGGCGCCCGGTGGAGGGCGGCGGGGCCTGTAGGATCGAGATGTCGACTAGAGGGGGGGTGAATAGGCGATTTCAAACTAAATAACACCTAATCAAAACTAACCTAAGTTGCTAGGCTTGGTGAGGGTGAACTCTAACTAAGCAACTAAGTTATGTTTTGCAAACTTAGGGTGATAGTGGCTCAATTATATCTCTAGGAAAGTAAATCACACTCCTATGTCAATGTTTTGCAATCCTAGGGTGATATGATCTCAAGTAAGTCTCTAGAAATGTAAATTGCACGAATGTAAATGTGACAATCAAATGAGATAAGGAGACAAGAGATTTTTTACCGAGGTTCGGAAACTCGCCGGTTTCCTACTCCCCGTTGAGGTGAGCCCAACTCCACCGCTCAACCACGAAGCCACCGCACGCCCCCTTCGTCAAGGGGTGGGCAAGGCGGGAGCCGGCCCACGGAGAGGACTACCCAAGCCTCGATCACTCGGGGTAGTTCTTCCTTCACTCCGAAGGTGGTGAACTTCAAACCACTCACAAACCGGCGCCGGGCCTCCTCCACAATCTTCTCGGAGAGGTCACCGGGCAACTCCTCCACAAGCCGTCTAGGAGGCGGCAACCTCCAAGAGTAACAAGCAATGACCCGGTGTAGAGATGATCAATCAAGTGCCACACTAGCTCTACAAATGGAAGCAATGCACTTGACTCTTGGCTAGAACAACCTCAACCACTACAATGGATGAACACTAAGCTCAATGGTGTGTGAGAGAGGTGCAAGGGGTGTATGCAATTGAATTGGGTGCCAAGAGAGCCTCCTTGCTGCTGGTGGGGGAGTATTTATACTCCCACCCACCAAAACTAGCCGTTGGGGGTGAAATCCCCCAACTCTGTGCTCTGCCGGTCTGACCGGAGGTATGTGGCCGGTCAGACCGTGCTACTCTGCAACGGCTAGAAAACTAGCCGTTGTAGCCCTGTCAGAGGGCCTCATCGGCCTGGCTGGTCAGACCGACATGGGGTGGCCGGTCAGACCGGCCTCGGCTCGGTCAGACCGCCATCGGCTCGGTCTGACCGAATACGGCACCGTCGGCTCTGTATCGGCCATCCCGAGCAATACCATCCCTGCCTCCAGGGGGCCGGTCTGACCGCGCATGGCCTTCTTGCGGCCGGTCAGACCGGCCAGGGCACGCCAGTCAGACTGCCACTATGTGGCCGGTCTGACCGCCCCTGGTCAGGCCGAACCCAGTGAAGTGTGTGTGTGTGTGAAATGTGAGCACAAGTCTAAATGCATAATGACCTAATGTGACAATTAAAATCATCTCTTTGCTAGGTCATTACCCCTCTTAATAGTACGGCGAAACTAAAAATAAACTAGCAAATTTGATCGCCCTACGCCTCGATCAATTCTAAATTAAAGCGCTAGTTTTACCGTCTTCTTTCCCTTTGCTTTGCGCCGTCAATTTTAATCCATCGATAATCATCCATGCGCACAAATGACGTGGACCTAACTTAAAATGTATAGCTCAAAGACAACGGTTAGTCCACAATTAGCGCTTGTCATTAATTACCAAAATTAACACCGGGAGCCTAGATGCTTCAGGGCCGCGGCCGGCGGCGGGCGGCGGCAGCCAAGGCCGGTGGGGCCGCGGGGGGCCGTGGCCGGCGGTCGTGGCGAGCGGCGGCAGCGGCATTGTTTTTTCTTTTTTTAAAAAAAAATTGTGATTCATTGAGATGTACAAATTTGTGATTCATTGTTTGGATCTGTGTTGTATTTGAGTAATTTTTTTAGGATTTTGTGATGTATTTTTTGTGTGTGTATAAGTAACTTTATGTTTTGTGATGTATTTTTTGTGTGTGTATAAGTAACTTTATGATCTGTGATGTGGATTTGGTAATGTGATTTTGGGATGTTACTTTGATTTGGGGATTGATTTGGGGATTTGACTACTTGATTCGAGAGAAAATAAAAAAGGAAAAAAAAGAAAAGAGGACAATCTGGTACTGCCGCTATTGTCTCTTTAATACCGGTTAGTAACATCAACCGGGACTAAATATCTCCTCTCACCAAATCTTTAGTCCCGGTTGAAAGGGGATTTCCAACCGAGAGTAAAGATGGTTTCTCCACCAGTGATATTGGTTGGATGTAGAGGCTAGATAAAAATACTCTTCTCTGAAAAAAAATAGATAAATAGATAGTAGGGACATTAAATGCAGAATGTTGAGCGGAGTAGGGGTGGGTGTTTGTTTTTATCAGGTTAATTGGCTCGGTTTGCTTGTTTTCTTCATAGATCAGTTTTTTTAAAATATTAGCCGAGAAAAAAAATACAAACCGAGGAAAAAAAAAAGGCCGAACAAAATGGTTTCCTTTTTTCGGGGTTTGGATTTTACGGAAGTACTCGGGTGAGAGAAAAGGCACAGCTACTCGATCGCGACTCGCAAAAGAAATCCCAGAAAAAACGTGTGGTGTGGGCCGTGTGGCTGCAGGTTCTTGTTTTGCCTCCTCATCTCCTTTACGTGGGCTTTTCTATCCCACTTATTAGACCCTGTTTAGTTCCGCGAAAATTTTTCTCAAAAATATCACATTAAATCTTTAGACACATGTATAGTACATTAAATATAGATAAAAAGAAAAAACTAATTGCACAGTTTGCATGTAAATCACGACACGAATATTTTGAGCCTAGTTAGTCCATGATTAGCCATAAATGCTACAGTAACCCACATGTGCTAATGACGACTTAATTAGACTCAAAATATTCGTCTCGCGGTTTCTAGGCGAGTTATGAAATTAGTTTTTTTATTCGTGTCTGAAAATCATTTCCGATATCCGGTCAAACCAATATGACATAAAAAATTTTTTATTTCACCAACCAAATAAACCCTTAGGCTTTAAAGTAACGAGATCACAAGGGACTTTTCAAGCAGATCGGTTTATACGGTGTCCTCGGTTTTTTCCCTCTCGCAACCGAGAAAGACGGTGAACACCGAAGTAGAGTAATAGAAACCAAACGTCCCACCGAAGAAAAAAAAATAGTTCCGTTCGGTTCGATGGTCGGTCTTGGAGAATCTTTTGCCCACCCCTTAAAAGGGAGCAACACGACCCAAGCTATAAGGGTGTGTTTGGTTTGCTACCATGTCAAAATATTGGTATTACCAAAACCTAGGCAAGTTTTGATAGTGCCAAAATTTTGGTAACTTTTTGTATATTCTTGGTAGCAAACCAAACATTACCAAAATACTATTCTCAGTGCCAAACAAATTGGTAGGGCACATTTTGGATTCAAACCAAAATGGCCCTAAATGTTAACTACAGTTGTGCTGGTGATCACAATCATTGAAATGGACTGTTCACTGCGATCACGCACCATACCGCATTAATTAAACTCACCGATATTTTTGCATCGATCGTGTCAGAGAGCTGAGGGAGCCATGGCCATGGAGAAGAGCCGGGTCCTCGTCGTCGGCGGCACCGGCTTCGTCGGTCGGCGGGTCGTGGCGGCGAGCTTGGCGGCGGGCCACCCGACCTACGTCCTGCTCCGGCCGGAGATCGGCCTCGACATCGACAAGCTCCAGATGCTGCTGGCCTTCAAGGCGCGGGGCGCGCGGCTCCTCGAGGCGTCGCTCGACGACCACGACGGCCTCGTCGCCGCCGTCCGGCAGGCGGACGTCGTCGTCTCCGCCATGTCCGGCGTCCACTTCCGCAGCCACAACCTCATGCTCCAGCTCAAGCTCGTCGAGGCCATCAAAGATGCTGGAAATGTCAAGGTGATAAATTTATTTTTTTTTATGGCAACTCAACTAATTACATAACTAGAGGAACATGATAATAAATCATATAGTTAGTAACTTGTGGTGATTTTTGTTGACAGGATTTTTTTTTACTGAAATCAGTTTGTGTTGTTTTACTGACAATAATTTGTGCACATCATAAGTAAAAAGTTTTGTCATATATAGTAAATTTACAAGATAGCCTATTTTTTCCATTGAATTTTGCTTGGATTCTTTTTTCACTCCAAATTACAAAACCGGTTGTTTTTCATATTCAACTTTCAAAACGGGAGAAATAACTCTTCAACTCATATTTTACAGTGGTTAATTGATATGATAGTCTTCCAGTGGAAGCAATCTCATCCGCATATGCTTTCATCTTTCCAATGTACTCAGAAACTGACATAGTAGTACCTTTTTGAGTGTTGGTGAGAGCGGGCCTGATGTTGATGGAGCGTGCACGTGTTTGGGACCCAAACAAGTCACCAATCACCTGCCATGCCTGCGCTGAAGATTTTGCACCGGCGACCTGGCCCAGCATGTCACGAGACAGGGACGAGAGCAGGAACCCAACAACTTGTTTTTCATATTCAACTTTCAAAAGGGAGAAATAACTCTCTAGGTCATATTTTACAGTGCTTAATTGATATGACAGTTATTTTCCGCCAACATGAATTTCAGTTAGGTATATTTTAGGATTTTATACCAAATTAAGTGACATCTACATTAGTAAAATATGAAAATTAAGAGACCGAAATACCAAAACCATCTCCATTTGAAACAGAAACATAAAAGATATATCCCAAGGTGGTACTTATCCACTTTTTAAAGTTGAGAGTGAGAATATAACTGGTTTGGTATTTCAGGATGAAAGGAGCAATGTTCAACAGTCCAGAAAGGACTTTGCCCATTCAAGAGCAACACACTATTTCCTCTACCCCATATATAGATATATAGAACTTATGCATATACACTACATGATTTTTGCAAAATGCTCATGATTAACATATATTTACTGTGCATAATTATACGTGACCAGCGATTCCTGCCATCTGAATTCGGCATGGATCCATCAAGGATGGGGGACGCTCTAGAACCTGGGAGGGTTTCATTTGATGAGAAGATGGTGATAAGGAGAGCAATTGAGGATGCAAACATCCCCCACACATATGTTTCTGCCAATTGCTTTGCAGCTTACTTCTGTCCTAACCTCTGTCAGATGAAAACTCTCCTCCCTCCCAAAGAGAGAGTTGGTGTGTATGGAGATGGCAACGTCAAGGGTAAATTAACACTAGCTAAGCTGTTGTTTCATTGCATTAATTTCCAGGTGTTGTTTTGTATTTTTCTGCCGGGAACAGTTAAGATTTGCACCCTTTTCCTGTTGAAAAGTTCAGACTTGTCTTTGAAACCAAACATCGAATTGATCAACTGTTTAAGACTTTGTGTGACCAAGACTGTGGTGCTTATGAAGTTATGATTAGCAATTACCTGTTTTGGTAACAGGTACAATTATATATTAATTTTTCAGTCTTGCTCAGTTCCAACTTCCAAGTTTGTTGGCACTCCGAAACCTTCATTTCATCTACAGTGTCTTCATCTTACAAATATTTTCTGCCTACATTCCCTTGCATCTACTAGTATTTAACAGAGCATAACAGGATTGCTGCACTCTTTTTCTCTCCACTGTTTACCACCTTTTCCGCCTGAAACTTTTCCCGTTGTAAATAATGATGATTTCTTCTCTAGTTAGTTCAAAATAGTATGTCCTATTAAGATATTTGTATTATAGTGAAAATGATCAAACACCAATTTGTGTTGCTTCGTTTACACTCGACAAGATTTGGTCAAACTATAGGAATTTTCTCGAAAACAAAACTACAGGAATTAAGGCCTACTGAAAACTATTCTTCAGTAATAGTACAACCAGAAATATATGAAGTAAATATAAGTGCACTACAGAATAATGCAGAGCATTTGTTTGAAATTTGTACTACTGACCAAGCTGCAATATTGCTCTATACAGTGTTTTTCGTGGACGAAAATGATGTGGGAACATATGCAATAAAATCAATCGATGATCCTCGCACCTTGAACAAGACAATATACATAAGGCCTCAAGATAACTGTCTCACTCAGAACGAGTTGATCTCAAAGTGGGAAACACTCACTGGGAAAAGTCTTGAGAAATTCCACATACCTGGTGATGAATTTTTGGCTTCTATGAAAGGTACCTGGTCAAACTAGAATATGTGTTTGGCTTTTTACTGTTTTCGATGTACAATTTTGACAACAATTTCTATTATAAAAGGTTTATAAAAATCTAATAACTTTACGGGCTACATAAGTCCATCTAAAGAAGATATACATATACTATTTTTAAGTTTAAAACTAAGCATTTTAAAATTTATCAGTAGTTAAAGTTCTAAAAGTTTGAAAAAAAAAACTAAGCATCCTATATCCGGGTTTTTTCGATACCATTACTCCAGGGATGAAATTTCATAACATATGTGGTGGTAAAAAAAACAATCAAATTTACAACTGATACGCAATTGTCGATGTGTGCAGATTTGGATTTTGCTAGTCAAGTAGGAATAGGACATTATTACCACATCTTTTACGAGGGCTGCCTGGCAAACTTCGAGATTGGTGACAATGGTGCCGAGGCAACTCAGCTCTACCCAGAGGTTCAGTACACCCGCATGGATGAGTACCTGAAACGCTATATCTAACCGGTTCAAATTTAAAGCATCTGCTTGTCAAATTTAAAGATTGTAATCCGCAAATGAGCATCCCTGGTCGATCTTCCCCTACCAGAATTGTTCAACGACAATATGCCTGCTCGAATTTATGGTACTAGTAGTCTAGTACATCCCCTCTTGTTTGTTGACTCTGTTGTACTATCAAGTTGGATGGGTGGAAAGTTCAAACGATGGTTAGCATGTTCATGTTCAGACCGGTATTTTGGAACATTGAATTCTCTCATATTCCTGCTATATATGTATTATTCCTTGCTTTAGTTATTAACGCTTTAGGCTGTGTTAGATATGAAAGGTTCAAATCCTTTCTCCCGCGGATGAAAAATACTAGCTCATCAACACATGATTAATTAATTATTAAGTAAGAAACTTGAATATAACTTTTTAAAGAAACTTTCTTCTTGAAATTTTTTTAAACAAACACGTCTTTTAACCGTTTAGTAAACATGCGCGTGAAAAACCAGAGAGTAAGTATTAGAAAAATGTACATGATATGATATCTTGAGAGTTAGATCAATCTTGAGTCTTGACTACTCAAGGTGTAAAAGTTGATTGGTACTGTAAGAAAGAGACCGTCGCCACTGCTCGCCTGTCTTCCACTGCGCTTGTGCTGTTGCCGTTTATGAACGCTACTGCTCGCCTGTCTTCCACTTCGAGGAGAGCCAGCCAAGGAACCAGGAAAAGAAGAGAAGCAGGGAAATAGGAAGAAATGGAAGTAGAGCAAAATTTAGGAATTTTGTATATTTGTGGTTCTGTTTGCAAATTAAGTATTTTGGTTGCAAGGGGAACACCCTTTCCCAGGCCCCCCTCTCTCTCTCTCTGGCCTATTGCCTTATGATAAGCTCCTTAACATTCTTTTAATGCTCGTAACAACTTTAATAGAAAAGTTTTTTTAAAAAATATCTTAATTAATTATCTAATTGGCACTTTTTATTAAAATTAAATCTTTCCAATAAGATATTAAATGATTATATTTTGATAAAGAAAAAAAAATATGTTTGAACTGTTGAAATTCGATGCTCCATATGCGGAGCAAAATGTTTCAACTGCCATTTGTTTGTATTTCAAAAATAAATTCAAACGTTCTAATGACTCAATATTTTGTTTCACCGTTGGTCAACTACAACATTATTTGATCGCTTGTTTTTTTTATTCTCCCAATATAGCATTCCCATCATATTTGAAGTTAACCCTGTTAGGAATGGCTATTTTACCATTCTACAACTTGTACATTAAAAATTCAATCAGTAAAATTTGACATATGCCGCTTCTAAACTTGCGATTTCCAAAAGCACACATAAAATTTTAAAAATGAAAATATGCCACTACGTGATAACGTCAAGAAGACATTGTAAGTAAAAGCCGGATTTTAATCCATTCTCTAAAATGACTATCAGTATTGTTGCCATTTCCCCTTCTCTTCCTCCATTTCGCTCTTGGCTTCATGGGCCTTTCCTACTTGATAAACCAAAATTTTTTGATTTAACAGTTTAGTTGTTACCACTTTGATTATGTTAAAATTTCATAACATAAAAATTTTGTATTAAAAAATTCCATAACAGTTTAGTCGTTACCACTTTGAAATATTGTCACCTCCATTTTATTTGTATCTATTGATATTAAAAAATTCCATAACAGTTTAGTCGTTACCACTTTGAAATATTGTCACCTCCATTTTATTTGTATCTATTGATAATAGAGTAATTTTGTGGATATAATTTTCTAAAAAACTACCTAGCCACTCTACTTTTTTGTTCCCTTGCACCAATCTATGTTGAAGTTTATCGTTCAGTTCTCAATACGGTCACACTAGAACGCAAGAAACAGCACAAGTCGAACACTATAGATAAGATAGAATAGGAACACACAAAACAGAGCAATTTTGGCGCTGCTCAATCCGCCACAGCCTAACGGTTTTCTCTCCTCTAATTATTCTTTTCTTTATTATACTACTTAAAATAAATGTAGTGGTGGTGGTTAGTCCTGAACGATCAAAGGGCTGAGATCCATTGGAGGATCCTCCCGCACAATCAATGGTCCAGCCAATCCCGTCCGTGAGCGTTCGCTCTGCAATCACTACAGGATTTATGTCATTTAAAGGCATTTTGTGGAAGGCATTTCTTTTAAACTGCCTTAAAACATCTCTTTTAAAGGTAATTTCCATAAAATGCCAAAAAAGTATTTCTATACATGGCAAATTTTATTAATGCCTTCAATACTTTTATCATTAGAAGGCGTTCTGTACTTTCAAGGCATTTTCATTAGCGCCTTAGAAAATCTTCTATTTCAGACGTAATCACATAATGCCATAAATTTTATGTTATTTGTGAGCATTTTGTAAAATCGGCAGGGCAATAGATAGAAGGCACTTTAAGGTATAGAAATGCCTCCTAATCTATGTCACACATAAAAAAGAACCCTGAATGAATTTAAGGTATAGAAATTGTATGTTTCAGCAATTGCTCTCCACCTCCTTCGCACGTAACCGCGTACCTCTACGGTGCCGTCAGAGAGATGCTCTTCGTGGCTGTCGCGTCCGACAGCCTCACTGGATTTGGTGGCATGTAAGTGAATGCTCCCGGATTCGGTAGATTCAAGTCGAACCCAATCATCTATTGTTCAATCGTAATATATGATTGGAGTTTCGATGGCGTGTTTGCAGTGCATAAGAATGCTTGCTTCTGATTTTTACGATTTTGGAGCAAATAGAGCATCAAATAATTTCATGCATGACTCAATGCTGTCATGCTGAAATTACTGGTATATGCATCCAAATTAAATACATTCACGAGTTTGAAGAGTCATGGCTTTGAGTGATCATAGCACTGTTGATCACGGAAAACGGAGCGGTTCATTAGCGCGTGATTAATTAAGTATTTGCTAATTTTTTTAAAAAATAGATAAATATGATTTTTTTAAGCAACTTTCGTATAAAAACTTTTTGTAAAAAATATACCGTTTAGTAGTTTGAAAAGCGTGCGCGCGAAAAATAAGGGAGAGGGGTTGGCAACATGGGATTGCAAACACAGAAGTCTAGAACACTCCGATGACCAATAGGAATCTAGATTTAGATCACTGGGGCTTTGGACGATGAGACAAACATGATGAAGAAATGAGGGGTCACTAATTAAAAGGCTGTGGAAAGGTTGGGAGAAACTTCTAAATTGGGTTGAGTTAATATGCATATACAATTTTGAGTTAATTGGGTTGAGTTAACGACAGTGTTGATATGTCGCCTGTTCAAATTAATATGCAGCTAGTTGATCTACATACTGTCAGTGATCGTGGTAAAAAATAAACTTTATACTGCATAACAGTTGGTGGTCGGCCATCCATGCCAGACATTCCAACCAGGAATATAGCATGTCAGTGATTTGGATGCAGCATTGGACCTGCCTTCAAGACCTGAGAAGACAGATAGTAGGAAGAGGGTATTTTGATTGGAGTTTGTTGGCATTTTCACCGAAAGTGATTCACGTTTTTTTTTTTCGGGCAGAAGAAAGTGCGAAGAGAGAGGCTTTGATGAACAAGTGAGTACATATCCAATAGGAAAATAATTAATACTTATATTGAATGCTAAATTAATGGCCAGTAATACTTACATATTTTAGAATGTATATTGTGATTAACATCTTCCTGATATGCAGGTTGCTGCATTGCTTATATTTGTCATTTTACGTCTAATGTATGTATATTTCTGGTATGTTCTGATTCTATAAAATGGAATAACTAACTTTTTTTGTTTGCTGCCATAAAATCTGCAAGGAATCACCATTCAAATTTTGTATCACACACTTAAGCCATCACAACAACATGGAGTAAGTTAGTATATTTGATCCACCGAACACTGTACTTGGTTCTTCAGATATTATGTTAAAATTTTAAGCTTCTTCTTGCTAAAGAATATATGTAGGTCATCTATACTGAACATCACCTATTTTTTCTATCACTCTAGCATAACAATGTTGCATGTTCTTCATGTATTGGAGCGATCCCGATAGTGTTGAATATTGACCATACAAAAGCAATGGAGCAATTTTTACGAAACCTAAAAAAGAATCAGAACTACTGTGCAGAAGTGAACTTTCTTTTGGATAAACCAGATGACAAATAATACTATATTTTGAGCTCATTACGTGACGTATCTTACATCAGGCTGTCAAGCACAAACCTTTTTGCTTTATAAGTTTTCTTTTGTCTGATATTGACATGGATATAAGCAAACTAGATTTCAGGAAGCCGATCTGAACATGTTTTTTTAGTAAGTTTAAGACATAGTTTTAAGTATCAGCAAACTACAAAAGGATGTACTTCTTATTGCTACTTAATTATAGAGCTGAACAATTTAAAGTGTTTCAGTAATTGTTCACCGCAGGGTGGTTTAGCTAGCCTACCATCTGTTCACACCTCGCGCACGCAGCTCCTCTGTTGTTGAATCTAGTGGATCGATCGGTTGCCATCCCCTTGTCTGTGCTAATCAGGCTGGCAAGTACACGTAGATGAGTTAGAGCTGGGAATATGTTTGGCCAGCAGGGTGGACGTTGTGGCGCTTTTGGTGCCAATTGCCATGGGATGTTTTAGATTTTTCTGAGATATAGAGATCTCCTAATTGTATAGCGTTGTATTAAGGCTTGCATATTTTGATTAGAGTAAAATGCATATAACCGGTCTCTAAACTTGGACGACTATATCATTTGAGTCCCCAAACTCTTAAAATGCATATCCAGATCTCAAAACTTGTTAAATTGTGTTGGTAACTTTTTGTGATAAGTTGACAAGCACGATCGTAGCACATAAAGCTTTGCGGTGATAACTAAGTCAAGATGAGTTTTGATAGATTAAACCGGCTAGATGAAACGATAGATAACTACCTGTCTCGTGGGCAAGATGGAAGGTTTTTAGGACAAACCTACAAAGAGGTGTCGCACTCTCGCAGCGGCGGCGGACGATTTACAGCGCAAATCAACAAAGATGGATAAACTAAACTAGAACTAGAAGCAATATCGAAAAAACGATTCGATTGATTGATTGTAGGTTCTTCTATTACAATTGAATCGGCCTTGTCCCTTATATAGGGTTGGTCTTGGCTTCTACAGGCCCTCCTCCATGTCCAACTCGGATAGAAACCAGAGGAAACCCGAAACATCCCTTCCCAAGCAAGGAAAACCCGGGACCCAACGAAACAGACTCGGGTTCAGACTTTGCCGGTCTGACTGGCCTTCTGGCGAAGGTCTGAC